GTTTTTCTTTTTGGCAGTTATTACAACCTACAGTCTCCTTTCTTCTTCAGAATTCTCCTATAAAACTAGGACTGCCATCCCTGCCTTACTGGTGAGGAAACCGAGATATTGAAAAGTTCCTACTTGTACAAGGCCTCTCACCTTGTAGGTGTTGGGGACAGGCTTGAACCCCAAACTGCCCTGCTTTTCCAGCATAGGCTGTTGCCTCCTACACACTGGTTTCTCTACGGAAGATACACCTCGGGGACAGACCAATGGAACAGACCCAAGTGTGATGCATGGAGGGAGGACCCAGAGCTTCACGCTCTTTCAGGGGCTGCACCCTCCCACCTGGGCTGCACGCTGCCACCTTCTACTAATCACTGTCACCACACTGTCATTATTTGAGGCTGTTTTACAAAATTCAAATAATTTTTAAAAATTGCCTCCATTTTACTAACAATTTAAAAGCCTTTGTTTCCATTAGAAAAATGGGAATAATTCCCATCTTGCAATATACTTGGAAAAAGTATGATAACCAAGAAATGTTAATTTCTTTCTTAAATACTTTCATGACATCACTAAGCTGTTTAAAAGCCTTGTCATTTATTTCCTCTTGTTTTTTTAAAAAAATATTTTATTTATTTATTCTTGGAAAGAGGGTACAGAGGGAGAAAGAAAGGAAGAGAAATATAGATGTAAGAGAGAAACACTGGTTGGTTACCTCCTGCATGCACCAACTGGGCACTGGGCCCACGACCCAGGCATGTGCCCTGACCAGAAATGTAACCAGTGACCTTTCACTTTGTGGAACGGCACCCAACCAGCTAAGCCACATCAGCCAGGGAATACGCTCTCATGTTTTGAAGCCAACACTGAATCTCCCCAAGATTGTTCACAATCTACTTCCATCCTGTTTATACTCCTTTGTTCATTTATCCATTCTTTCATTAAACAGATATTTAACACTAAATTACTTGAAGACCCTTCTTATGATACAAAAGTACGAAATAAGAAATATAAGCTCCCCTTAAAATAAGAGTTCAGTTTAAATGAAAAAGACAACCATGAAGCAAAGCACTTGTTTAGAAACTGTACAGTAAATATCACCTGGGCTCTGGTACTGGAACTACACTGATTACCAGGCAAACCACAGGGAGAATGCATTTACTCACCAGTCAACTAAGGTAAAGGTTTCCTGTCAATAGATTTTTATCTACAGAACCTTTACATTTTCATGTGTCCTTCATAAAACAAAGTAACAACAACAAAAATGAAAATACATAAACAAACCCCTAAAGACCCAGTATAACTCCCAGCTTTCTGACTGAATTATTAATGAACACTTTATCAAAACTTTCAATTTTATAAAAACACAAACTAAATCCCAGGAAAGCACATGATTTGCCTAAAGTCCCAGGGCCATGCAGTTCATAGAGCTTGAGCTAAAGCCCCTGCCTCCTAAGTCCCAATTTAATATTCTCAGCACTTTACACCTTGGATGACTATTGTCAAGGCTCCCTTCTCTGAAGTCTTACAAAATTTATAACTCAGCACCTACAATGTGAACCTTAATGGTAGCTTGCCTTTTATTGCTCAATCTTTAAAATTTCTCTTATATTTTTTGCCCTCCATCAAACTGCAAGTTCCGAGAGGGCAAGGACCAACTCAAATCTCTGCTGCATCACTCTGAGAGCTTTCCACAGTCTGAACGCCAGCTAGGGGCCCAAGAAGTCTGTAACTGACTGCCTCGCTAGTGGAAGGAGAGAACCGACACAAGGTACAATGACTAAAGTACCTTGGAAAAACTTCTCCACAGGAAATTTTAAATTTTAGGTAATGTTGGAAATAAATTTCATGTGGAAATCTAAACCATGGTTGTGTACTTCTGCGTGTGTGTATAGTATTGTGTAAAGCACACGACTTGCATTCGTTAGTTCAATTCTCTCAACATTCCTAGTAAGTCCGATTATTTTTCTCACTTTCCTGATGGGAAGACTAAAGCAGGCACAGAGAAGTGAAGCAACATGCTCAAAGTTACGCTACTAGCAAATCATCTAACAGCCCATAGTTGAAGACATTCATTTCATTCTCAGTGGTGAAACTTTATACAAGGCTAGTCATTTGTTTTCTGTGTGCTAACTGGTCTTCATAACAGGAATGTGTGCTGACAGTCAAATAAAAATGTATTTGAATTTCTATACTCATTTTGCATTTCAAAGAGACATGGCATTTCAAAGAACACAAATATATTTCACATATAGGCTGAAATATCAAAAGAATAAAATCATGATTAATAACATTAATAATTTTTCTTCTTCAACATAATTATTTGAAATGTAATCTTAATCACTCAAAAAGGAGGTAAACCACATAGATGCCCAAAGAAGTTGCACTTATAGTCAAAAGCTGAAGGAGGGAAACAATAGGCTTAGACAACAATGTTTGATAGATCAATAGAATATGTATTTTAGACTTCCTCCAGGATGGAGGCAGAGGTGGAAGCACTGCACCTTCTCACACAACTAAGTTTAAAAACAACAAAGTTTTAGCAACAAAAACACAGCCAAACCACAGAAAAATTGAACTACATGGAAGTCTGACAATAATGAACCCTTCAGCCAAACTGGTAAGAGGGGCAGAGCCAGCAGCAGAGCGGGGATGGGCAGGAAAGACCCACTGGACCAACCCTGGCATGCGACCCAGATGCACCAGCAGCCGTGGACGGATCCCAGGTGTGGAGAAGCAGGAGAACCCACTGAAGGCTAATCGCAGATACATTTGCGCGCAGATAAACCGGTGAAGGAGTGAGTGGTGAGACAGACCGTGCAGTCCCCAGTGCTGGGAAGCAGCAGAGGGAACCACCATTGTCCCTCTCTGACCCCGCCCCCACATACAGCATCACTAACCAGTGACTTGGGTGGCCCCGCTCTGGTGAACAACTAAGGCACCTCTCCTCATATGTAACAGGCGTGGCCAGATCAAAACATGGCTCAAGAACAACTCAGAGCCCCAGAGCCAATAAATCTAAGCGAGGAAGAAATAGCCAAACTTTCAGATGCACAGTTCAAAACACTGGTGATCAGGATGCTCACAGAACTGGTTGATTTTAGTCACAAATTAGAGGAACATATGAAGGCTAAACTAATTGAAATGAAGGGAAATACACAGAAAACCAATAGTAATGGAAAGGAAACTGGGACTCAAATCAAAGGAGTGGACCAGAAGGAGGAAAACAATAACCAAACAGAAAAGGATAAAGAGACAATAATTCAAAAAAAAGAGGAGAGGCTTAGGAACTTTCAGGACATCTTTAAATGTTCCAACATCTGAATTATAGGGGTACCAGAAGGGGAAGAGGAACAGCCACAAGTGGAAAACTTATCTGAACAAATAATAAAAGAGAACTTCCCCATTCTGGCAAAGGAAATAGACTTCCAGGAAATCCAGGAAGCTCAGACAGTCCCAAAGAAGTTGGACCCAAAATGGAACACACCAAGGCACATCATCATGACATTAGCCAAGATTAAAATGAAGGAGAGAATCCTGGAAGCAGCAAGAGAGAAGGGGACAGTCACCTACAAAGGAGTTCCCATCAGACTGTCAGCTGATTTCTCAAAAGAGACCTTACAGGCAAGAAGGGGCTGGAAAGAAGTATTCCAAGTCATGAAATCCAAAGACCTATATCCAAGATTGCTCTATCCAGCAAAGCTTTCATTTAGAATGGAAGGACAGATAAAGTGCTTCTCAGATAAGAGCAAATTCAAGAAGTTCATATCACCAAGCCCTTATTATATGAAATGTTAAAGGAACTTACCTAAGAAAAAGAAGATAAAAAAGATGAACAGTGAAAGGACAGCAAACTCACAGTTATTAAGAACCACACCTAAAACAAAAGCAAACTAAGAGGACAGCTAGATCAGGAGCAGAACCATAGAAATGAAGATCACATGGAGGATTAGCAACAGGGAGTGGGAGAAGGAGAAGGAGGGAGAAGGTACAGAGAATAAGTAGCATAGATGGTAGATAGAAAATAGATAGGGGGGAGGGCAAGAATATTATGGGAAATATAGAATCTAAAGAATTGAGACACATGGTCATAAACTAAAGGGGGGGAATGATAGGGGAGGGGGTGTGCAGGGTGGAGGGGAATGAAGGGGGGGAATAGAACAACTGTAATGGCATAATTAATAAAATATATTTAACAAAAAAGAATATGTATTTTATAATTCTAAGCGATAAAAAATATCGCTTAGTAAGTACAATCAAAAAAATTTGATTGTACTACTATGTCAACGATCTTTTAGAAGTAGGTGATTTATAAATTATTTCTTCTCAATTGTTATCTGCCTAGTCACAAGGAAAAAAAACACCCATTCGAAGGATGTTGATTAAATGTCTTCTGGATACAATTAAGGCTCATGAAGAAGAAATAATGGATAAATTTAAAGAGTCCTTCTATGACTGCATAGCAGCACTGTGCCAAGAGTTGACTCTGCTTTGTAAATATATTGCCTACATTGTATAGTACAGAAAAATGGCACTCTTATTCAAAGGCTCTGCCAACAAGCATGAGACAGAGTCATTAGGCCTCAATCATTCTTTATCATCCTGGGATATAAAAAAATGCTAAAAAAGAACTATTTTATCCTTTGTGGTCCACATCAAGGCAGGCAGATTAAGTCCTGAGAGTTTTGATTATTCCCAGAACAAATTGAGAAAACAATTCATGTCACAGTCCCACTGCATTATGACTTTTTCAAATTATGATTTCCCCTTGATGACAACAGAAAAATAGTTGATCAACCAAAAGAAATGTGTGTTTCGTGCTTCCCTTAGTTTTGCATCCTTGTATGTTAACTGTGGAAATTACTGTCTGCATTCAATGCAGTTGTATACACATTTTGGATGAGGGGCACAGTCATAGAAGTGCCCACACAGGTTTCCAGAAGACACTAACAAAACAGATGTGAACTAAAAGATTTAAAATAAAAAAGGCCTCACAAAGAGTCACTACTCACAATGTTCATCAGGGTGAGGAGGTAGTTTTGGACGTGCTCTTTGCCATGGAAACGGACCACAGAGTCATCCACTCCCAGCAGCACCTCAATGTTGTAATCGTTTTCTTCTGCATGTCTGCGACGTCTAATTGTTTTGTTCAGCTGCCGGTCGATGTTGCGGTAACCAGTGCCTAGATCGTCAAGGCCTCCCAGATCGGACTCTGTAAAGAAGCAAACAAAGCTCAAGCATTTCAGCTTTCCCAATGGAACTTTTTGCAAAATCTTCTAGGGGGCCCACTGTTATAATCCATAATCACTGATTTTCAGTTTATTCCACAAATAATATGCATATCTGCATGACCAGACAGGCCTCAGATAAATTCAACATAGAACAGAAATATTGAGGGCAAAATGATATTACTGTACAGAAGGCAGTGTTGCCACGCTGACCGAAATGTCCCTGAGGACAAGAGTAGTTTAGTCTTCCTCCAGCTGCATCCCCACAACGGAGCAAAGAAAGTGGGGTTCAAAGAAAGTGCTGGCTAAGAGGTTATTAAATAAATAGAGATTTTAAATAAAAAATCATGTCTTGATAAGTTTACAGAGGTTAAATACCTATAATCAGACTGTAGGACTTGTATCTCAACCCATTTAAATTGCTCCGTTTTCCAGTAGCCTTAACTTAAAAATTCGAGTATAGCGTGGCAACACAACAGCATCTAGTGGTATAATTATCGGTCACTATCTATTACGTTATTTCTGCTGAATGTGTTTTTCTGGTGAATAGAAGTGGGAATACAAGGGACATCCACTTCACATCCAGTGAACACTACAGGTCTGCACATTCGTACTGGCCATCATCTGGATAGCAGGTCATTTCAATTGCTGTATAGCTGAATCTATGAGATGCCAAACTAAGAAAGTCAGAAAATTACCTATAAGCCAAAGGAAAAAAATAGTAGAAACAGTTTTTTAATTCTGTTTTTAGTTGAAGAAATTTAAAAGTTTTACTTTCCAAATGGGAATATACACACAAACACACAGAGATCCATATACAGAGTAAAAACCATACAGATATAAATACATACATATATATGTCTGTCTGCCTGTCTTTTTATCTGGAGAAAGTGAGTGAAGGATCCTTAAATTCTAAACACCTATATTACCTGCCTTCAGATTACCATATTTTTGGCAAAAACAATGTTTTTGATGGATTGAAAAATAAAATCTCTCATTTGAATATTAAAATACAAGCTATTCAAAACTGTTGGTATAAAACTGAAAGGATATTCATTTCCATTTCAAATGTATAAAACTTGGAAAGCATTTTATTTTACACACTGCCCCGATGTCTAAAACAACCGCATATCTAAAAACACATTTGACAGAACCTTGTCTGACTTCACGGTTTATGTGAAGGGTTATTCAATGCTGCACCAAGGCCTATAAGCTAGTTGAATTAGTGTGTGACATTAATGAATAGGCATTTTCCTCTCCACCTTTGCGGTTTTAGTCAAGTTGAGGGGTAAAAAAAGGTGTCTCTTAGCCAGAAAGATTGATGACCAAGCCACAGCCACATGGGATTAGAAATAGTGGAAGTAAAGATCCTACTCACACCCCATCCACTTACAAAAAAAAAAAAAAAAGAGAGAGAGAGAAACAGCAGCACCGTCTCCCCTCCCCCAGGAGTCCAGCCCGGGCGTAAGCTCTGAATGTGACTAGTCAGGTTTGAAAGCTATACTGTGATTCACTTTGACCCAAGCCCAACTGCTAGATCATTAGCTGGGAATTTTCTCCTCATCAGGGACTCAGGTTGGCTCCACAACACATAAATAACTCTCACCACCATCCACATCAAACAGAAAGCTTTCCTCAAAAGTTGTTTCTGAGAGTTGTAAACCTCCAGTGAAGGCAAGAGACTACACCTGCAAACAGCTTTACTGTTCAACCTCAGGCCTTTTCACACACTCAAGAATGTGAAAGGTTGTGATAGCTAGCATACAAATAGGAAATTCATACATGAACTCCCAGTTCTAAAAATGGTCCTATTTGGCAGAACTGTCAGCAACCACATCCAATGGAAATATACCAGCAATGTCATCATATCATTAAGTCTGACGCTTGAATGAAGGAGGCTGAATACATATTTCAGAGACGGTTCATTCTGCTCTAATACACCTTTGGTTTTGCCTTTCTATCTCTCCTTAAATAGGCAGTTTTCTGGAAAGAGAAGAGAATCATTTTTTTCATTGCATGGATCTTAGGAAGGGAGAAGGAAGCCTTTTTCTTTCAACCACTGCCTTTATTCAATCAAGAATACTTTTGTCCCTATTTCCCCCTGTGCTGTACTGTATGCACAGTGTTCTTTCTTACGATTCCTAAAGTGAGCAATGCCAAGCATTCCAAGGAAAAAACAACTTCTGGCACTTATTATCTCTACACATCTCTATTAATTACAGACAGTTCTGAGGCTGTAAAATATCTTCATTCATCATGAACTTTTCTTCGTATGCCTACTTTATAATGTAATGGTAAAATGATTAGTAGCATGGGCTTTTAAGCAGACATACCTGGCTTTAAATCCCGGGAGTGTCACATCCTATCAGTGTGATTTTATTCAAGATGCCTGACTTTGCAGACTTACTGCGATGATGTGATTAATGATCATTAAAGAACACTGTGCAGAGTGCTTAGACGTAAGTGATTCACAAATACTACTTACTGCTACTACAATAATGATGATGTGATGATGATTTCCCATTAAGAGAAACCATCATTTTCAAAGACTCCTACATTCTATTTTTTACATCGCAAATCAAATAGTTATGGTTCTTTTAAAACAGAGATAAGTAAAAATTCTTGAATTAGTGACCGAAACTCTGAACTGCTGGTGACTTTAGAAATTAGGGCAACCTACATCCTGCAGAGAACAAAATAGATACAAGGAGAGAAAATCTAGAAGGTTTACATTCAATGTTAAATCAGGATTAAACTCAGTGAGACAAGTTTGTCTAGTAGATTAAGCGCATTGGAAAGAGCTAGCTTGTAGACGGCACTGATCTTCATTCTACCCATAGTTACTGAGCACCCACATGTGTGTAGACCCTGGGAACCACACAGTTGTACTGGATTTATATCCATAAAGTAGCTGAATTCTACTATGTAGTAACAACGACAGAGGCTGAGTCACTTTTCCAATTGCCAGTTTAAGTAGCTCTAATCAGGGAACTAACACATACCTTTTAGTAATATTTCATACCTGTATAAAGCTTCAGAGTTTAAAAGCTGACAAACTGGCAAATTTTTAGATATTTCTATGTCCAGTTCTCTGTCATCTCTGTGCCCCCGAAAGAGAGGAAAACAGAAACCTCTCAAGGCAGTATCATTCTAATCACGTCCAGCCACCCCTGGCAGAGCTGTCTGATGCCGAGAGGACGGGGAGGAATCACACAGGAGTCAGCAGGCAAGTTCAAGAAGTGAAAGCTGAGTGACATTTTAATGAAGTGCTGCAAACTATGGCTCTCTGGTGGCCTGCTGCTGGCATCCTGCTACATAAGTGCATCCAAGGTAACCTGAATGGCAGTGGCCGAGTGGGAGAGCAGAAAGTGATGGGTGCAGTAACAGAATTAGCAGGAAAGCTGAGCCCGTTCAGATAAGTAAATAAGCCTCTGCGATAAGCATAGTGATGCTACTGTTCCCCACACTGTGTTCCAGAAAAGTGATGCTCATGGCACTTTTCAAGCTCTTCAGAAATATTAAAGGCAATCCCTTTGAGGACTTAGGTTGAGTGAGTTTTCTCTTTACAAACTTTTTGGAAAACGAAAGTTTTAAAACTTATCTAAGGAGTTACTGATATGAATTAATATTTTTGAAACTATTTTGATTGTGTCCTTTTGTGTACCCCCTAGTTGCCAACTGCTGTATGTGAACTTTTAGAAAAACAGTTTTCCTAGAAACAGTTTTTACTGAAATAAGATATTTTGGGGAACATGGGTCATCAAGTCACAATACATATATATAATCATTTTAGTGTTAAATATAGAATTGTCATGTTAACTCAGAATTTTGAACTTATCAAATAGGTAAAGTAGAATACAGCTTGTTTTGCTGATTATGAACACTTGAGCTGAAGACATTTCCAGGATGGAATATGGCGTGTGTGGCAGGTGTATATGCTCACTATATTTACAGTGTGCCTGGTAAAAGCAGTCTATACCCCAGCAGACATTCCTATGGTCTGAAAAATGGCAGGAGACAAAGATAAAACTGCAAAGGTACATGTTCTGATCAAGTTCTCAATGCGATAGGAATATATTTTGGGTTGGAAAGAAATCTTAACCATACTGTGATGAAGGCAGTGTGAGAATCATCGACCCCGTATTCTGTTCTCTCCTTCCTAAGAAGCAGCACATCAATTCTATTTGAAGTGGCAATAAATTCAGCTAAAAGGCATTCCCAGTCTCCCAGCAACAAAGGACCATATGTGCCTAAGAATAAGACAATGAGATATGAGCAGAAGTTTGGCTTATACCTCAGGGACTTAAACTAATTGTATGACCGACTTCCATGAAGGCTCCCCAAAGGAAGGTCATTCACCTTGGTAGGTGCCCCCCCTCCCTTTGTCCCTTTACTCAACATTTCCTCCTGCTGCCTGGAAACACGGACATGGTATCAGTTTTATGAGGTCATGCTGGCATCAAGGCAAGTGCTGAGTATGGTAGGGCAGCTACAAAGATGGGATCTAACCCCACAGTGACAGCGGAGCCACCATCCCTCCCTGGATTGCCCAGCGCCAGATGTGCTACCCATGAGGAACAATACTACCATTGTGTTTGGGCCATGTGTGGGGTTCTTTTACGTCACAGAATATAGTCCTAATAGATATGACTGAAATATTTAATCTTTTCTAGATTAGCACTCCTTCATATTTGGGAATGCAAGTTAATTTTTATGTGAATAAGTGAATGACAAAGATCTACTTTACCAAAATGTTCCATAGCAGCTTTCTTTGTAGTGCATCTATTTCAGAAAATGAGAAGCATACTGTTTGTCAGTAACAAGAAAAAATACAGAATGAGTTTATATGTAGAAATTATGCATTATTCATAAACAGAATACAGTGTGAAATCAAGCAACTGGAATACCACAACCTGGATTTTCCAATAGGAGGTGGAGATGCTAAGATGACATCTAAAAAATAGGCATAAAATCCAAAAAATGT